TCAGCATCTCCAATAGAAGATTTAGACCAGTTTCTGCTATATTCCTCTCTGTATACCGGAATGCCCAAATGATTGAATCCATAACTAGCTTTAGTTGCTGATGCAGATGGATGACAAAATATTAGAAAAAGACAATGATTGCCTCGATTCTTTCCAATACCCAAATAATAATACTAATAATAATAACTGACATTAGATAATCTCTTATTAGTTGAAAAAGTAAAATCTTCAACCAAAAATGAAATTTAAAGATATAATTTATATTTTTAATTAAAGGACAGCTTTAATAGATCAGTAAAAAGAAGAAACTCAACACCAACCTGACTTGACAACCGAATAAGTGCAGGAAAACAATGAGTAGCAATGGCACGAAGCAAGGAAAAGAACCTGGGGCGATGTTCTGGATAATCTTCAAAATTTTTGGTTATCATCTGCAAGGCATCGCAACAAGAAATTATTGCAAAGAAACTTAAGAAAGTAAACTACAACATCTCTAATCCTGGCCATCTGCAAAGCAGCATCAGACTTTCAATAACAATATTATCAAATAACACAGTTATTGCACGTTATCTATCAGCTATATCACATAGTGTGAATCCAGATTTTATAAAATGTTAAGGAAACGAGAGAATAATCCATAAATCCATAAAAAAAAATTAACAGAATAATAACTTTGGGGGGACCTTCATTGTATTCACTAATGTGTAACCGACATTTTCAAGTCATTCGTGCCATGCATGTGCTGATTAACTCTCATGACTCTTATTACACAATGTCAGACTTCCAATTCAAGCTAAGGGCTTTTGCCTGTTATGCCACATCCTTAACAGAGGGTTTAGACAACAACCCTAATCACCCCATCCCTTACAAGCTATTCTCCTTCAAAAAATACACACGTAAAATAAATATATATAGATAAAAGACTAACCTCCAGTGTGCACTGGAAAACAGCTTCAAATATACGGGGAACATCATCTATCATTGCAGCTTTATACCTTCATGCATGGAAAAACAGGATCAATAAGAAATGCAAAGATTTGATATCAAAAGTAACAACAAAAAGGAAAAGAACTAAAGAGAAATGACATCACTTCAGCAAGTACCAGTACGATAAACAGAAGGCAAATGCTACTATTATGTTTTAGGCACAATAAGCATGCCGCACATTAACAATTTAGTAACAAGTCAAGCTTTGCTCAGAGCATATGGGAATAAAGCACCAATGTCGTAAAACCATTTGCATTTATAAGGGAATAAGAAAAGATAGCTCTTTTGGCAGCAGAATCATCAGTCTGGGAAGATTAATGTGCAAAGACAACACAGGCTTCCCATATCTTTTTGGCTGGGCCTTAGAAAAATTATCAACAATAGACATAAATGATTCTCTGGTACAATAAGCACTTGTCAACAAAACCATCCTACCCTCAATATCTAAATAATCAAGAAGATCTTCAATTATTCAACAAGTTGTTGGGTAATTTTAGACATTATATCATCTAAATGGAAGACTGTATGCATTGGTTACCATACTTGTTTATTATTGTAGCAAAAAGTGACAAAACTTCAGATTCTCTATCATCAGGCAAATTCCTACCATAATCACCAAGAACTGGATCCATCATTGGAGGGACAAATTGTTTCCCGATTTGTGGTTGATCTTCTGCCTTGTCCAAAAATGTCTCAAACTCTCAATAAGCTTAAGAGTCTCCCTCTCAAGAGCTCTGCTTCATAAACCACATTCGCCAAAAAAGAAATTTTTGGTTGAACCAAAAAGACAAAAGCATGTCTGCAAAGATTGGCCTTACCGTGGAAGTTTCACATAGGAAGTTTTTGAAGCAAAGGGTCCTCCTCCTGCAATACTATTCGATATAAGCTCACTGTACATTCTGTTCAATATATTACAGCACCATAAATTACGCATATTAGCAAAGACAAAAGTTAATATTGCATTTCAATGCTCAAACTTGAATTTGGAAATACAAAACCAGAAACTTTACCTGTATACATTAAGCATGTCCAGAAAGATCAATGAAATTTGGGTTAAGAAATATGTTCCAAGAGAACTGGCCACACTAGTATTTGTCTGCAAATTAGAAAGATTCCTTCTAAGTCTCACTAAATCCCAATAAGCGTTAAATTATAACCATAGCATGTTCACCATCAGACATATGAAGTCTGCAAGGAAACATGAGACTGTTTAGCTAGGTGCATTGTGCTCTTTAAAAGTCAATAAAAGAAATGATGAACATGCTTCATATGAAAATAATAAATACCTGCAAACTGTTTAGCACAGTTCTTATTACATCCTGATAAAAGTGCCTGAGACTGTTTGAATTGGAGCATGATATATTGATATCTGTGAAAAACTCTGCTTAGTCTCACCCCTTCCATATATTTTGTTTTGAGGCTTGCTTCATTTATCGGGCATGGCTTAGGATATGCGTGGAGTGGGGTTGTACAGGTTCCCACTTTGTCATTCTTTTCCCAGGATGTGGGTGCAACTCTTTTGAGGTAGAAAGGCGAATGCTTTGTTTATCCTGTAAGAAATAGAGTGAAGGCAGAAGGCTTTGCTATTTGAGAAGCAGTTCTGAATTCGTAAGTTTTATAGTAAGCCAAGGTTATTCTCTTAGCTCAAAGTTGTGGATCAGAATCCAAGCCTGACACACGGGTATGACTGTGCTCTGTTGAACATGTTGTGCATTTGGCTTATTGGCTGTAGTTTAAGCAACGGGGCTTAACACTGGGATGCCATCTGATATGCAAGGATGTGTCTAGCTTCCTTTGGTAATATCATCCTACTTGAAGAGCCCAGTCAATATAAAGTGGTAGAAGAGTTTGGCTGGAAAATTCTTTAGGAAGCAAGAGCCAATACTGCATCGTTTGTCTTGTTCCATTTTGACAGATTTGTGAGGATGCTTTTACGCTCTATAATGGAATGAGCTATTCTTTTTTTCTTAATTACATTACTGTATTTTAGTCATTTATTTATTTTTAATTAATTTTTTTAAAAAAACTTTTTTTAAAAAATAAAAATAATAGCCTAACCAATTATCAAAAGTATCAACCAAATAAAATTTTAATTATTATTTTTTTAGCGTTTTGCACTTTGGCTTGTGCTGCTTGCAAATCAATTAAATTAATGTGCTATTTCCAGTTCGGCCGTCCATCTGAACCGATGGCCTTTTTGTCAGGTGAAAACGATGGCAAGTGTTGGAAAGAATATTTATAATGTAAAATATGAGGCTTATAGTTCATATATGATGCAAATACATGTTGTTTTTAAAACCACAAATGATGAGCTTGAAACATTTCAACCTCTTTTATTACAGTGATCAAGTAAAGGTTGCCAGTTACCATGGACCACCTGATAGAAAGGCTTATTACTTACCAGCATATCATAGCACCCCTTATTCCTTCCCTTGAATTAGTTGTGTATTTGTAGGGAAGCTCCGGAGCACAACTGTTTCAACTGTGATACTAGCCCCTAATCCAAACAAAATACCCCACTGTAGCCCTTCGCCCGTGGTGGCCTTTCCTACCTCCATGGACCTCCTTCTCATCTCATCCAGAATAAAGAACACAGTTGCAGAACTCACGTTCCCAAATTCGCGAAGCACATGTCGAGTTTCTATAAGTTTTTCCTTTTTCAGCCCAAGTTTGATTTCAATCTGGTCGAGAACTGCATTCCCTAATGGATGAACTATCCAAAAGAATGAGTTCCAATCATTGATGCTTATTGGACTTAATGCTTCCGCCAAGCACTTGTCAATGTTATTAGCTATCAATTTTGGAACATCCCTTGACAAGTGAATACTAAGGCCTGCTTCATGCATATGTCCTTTAATCGCACCCTCCGAGTCAGGAATAATATTCTCCGTCGAGGCAACAATTTGAAAGAGCGGTCTTTCCTTCAAGACATTAGGATCAGCACCAATAATCATAGCCGCTGCACCATCACCCATAATCGCATTGCTAATGAGCGAAGGTATGCCATGTTCATTGGGTGCACGAAAAGTAGGAAGCGTAATGTCAGAGCTGAGGACAAGAACTCGTGCACCAGCATTGTTTTCAGCGATGTCCTTGGCAATTCGGAGGATGGTACCGCCAGCAAAGCAGCCTTGGAAGTACATCATCACTCTCTTGACTGATGGTAGGCCAAGCAGCTTTGCAAGACGATAATCTGCTCCAGGCATTTCCTTACCCGAAACTGCAGAAAATATGAGGTGTGTGATCTGAGATTTTGGTTGCCTCCACTCCTGGATCGCTTTTGATGCTGCTTCCATGGCCAGTTTGGGTACTTCAGCGGCAAGAATTTGTTGACGTATGTCAATAGACGGGCTGCTGTAGGTGCTGATGTTGGGATTCTTATTAATAATTTCTTCAGTGAGGACAAAGTGGCGTTTGCTTATCATTGATTTCTCACCTGTTTGGTTTATAAATAACCATCATAATATAACAACATTTACTCAATAAGGAAAATCAAATTGCAAAAAGAATTTTGCTTGTAGAAATCAGATATGCGTAGTAATCCTTACATAGCTTTATACTTAAAAGCTGTAGTCATAATTTATAATGAAAAATTGAAAAATGCGTTTATTTTTTTTTTTACAATTTTTTTTAACATGAATGAAAATTTAATGATTAATTTTTCGATGATTAACGCTAATGTTAATATATACATATATGATTAAACTTTATCAACTTATTCTTTAATCAAATTCATCAACTATATACTTACATATATGTTTGAATTTTTCTTTTAATTGGGTCATATGTTTATTTTTAGTGACTCTAAAATAATAATCAAGATAATCAGTTTGAGAGATACAATGAGCGGGAGTCGCTTTGCCAATAGAAAGAATTGTTGCCAGGCGTTGCGCTGGTTTTCTCCTTCCAAG